CCCATTCCGGCGCCTGCGGAAACGGCCCAGCGGCAGCTGAATCAGGGACGCCTGGGGCAGAGCCGGACTATCGTAAGGGGGGGGCTATGAGGGGTCTGGGGTGGCATCCCCTCCCACTCTACTCCAGACCCCTCATAGCCCCCCCTTCTGATAGTCCGGCACATCTGATAATCCGGCACCCCCTGGGTCCTAAAGGTGCCGGATTATCGGAAGTTTACTGTATATGTTTGAACAAATTGACACTGAGTAGACACACGTTACTATTAGTGGGGCAAGAACATTCATGTTCTCATTTATTGATGGAAACAAAGCCCAGATATTCAATGAACAATGTGTGTGTGTGTGGGCCAAAAGAAGAGAAGAAAACAAAAAATAATATGGAAAAAGACACAGCAAAGAAGAAAGGATTGCATTTTCTGAAGCCCCAATATACAGCTCTATTTCCTACTACTTAAGACATCATAATTTATGAACTAGCTACTAGGATCAAACTAGAATGTTTCCTTGTGTCTCAAATGTGGCTTTTAAGGTCCAGCGGTGATAAGTCAATATGGGACTACTAAGGTTTTTCAGGCAATGCATAGTGTGAGAAGAGTGTATAGCAGTGATGGGCAACTTACGTTAGTGAGTGGGCCATATGAGTGGTCGTTCTCTATCTCAGCGGGCTGCAAGATTGTCATAAGCAAGGTGGTCTCTTCCAGAATAGGGTAGTTTTTCTAACTATGCTTGCAAACCTAGAATTTGTGGTGTGTGCCAACTAAACCATAGCAATTCTTTGATTAGATGCAGAGGGAGATAATGGCTCTTACAGTCAGTGTTGTGTGCCGTCAGCATACACCTCACTTCGCGTGTCCTTTATGTACATGTCACTTTAGTAATACGAGTAGGAAATAAACTATGTGGATGGAAACCAGTGGAATCTGGCAAGCCTTGCACATGGGCAATGGTAAACAAAATGCCTACCAGGCCACATGTAGAACCGCAATGGCTGTCCATCAGTGGTGTACAGGATAGGATTGGAGAATGTTTGTCTGCCAAGGTTTATTATTAAAACTTCCATCTTAAAAAAAAATTGCAAAAAGTATATACATTAGTAGACGATGATTGTACAGTATTTTAGGGGCCCACTGATATTAATCACACATTCTTTTGTACATGTAAATGTGTAATTTTATAATTGTAGAAAACAGGATGTCATTATAACAAGTGTGGTTCCTGGAGATTATGATGGTGATTCACAAATGGATGTTCTCTTGACAACACGACCACAAAATCATGTCACTGATGAACTATCGGTTACTATTTTCTGGGGACACAATCAAACATTAGGTAAGTTAGTGTTATGGTTAGGTATTAGTAATAAAAAATATTAACCATAATATAACCATTATCCAGTCAGCTAATTATAACTTACTGGACAATATAACTATTGTGTTTATAACAGAAACACTGATCAAGCCTCTATAGCAGATATACAGTTTTACATGTGTATTAAATTTTGTAGTAGAACTGCGGTGGGTATAAAGGTAAAAAAAATCTGATTCTTTGTTATGGAGGAAGCTCATAGTTCAAGCTGGAGCTAGTTTCTTAGTATAAACATGACTTTTTCCCCTTTTTGCTGCCTCTGCCCCTCCCTACTATATTTATATCCTAAGCTAAAGTTTTTCAGGGCAAGATGGGTAAGAAAGAGGATAATGTGAAAATATACCTCTTTCATTTGTTAACATTATTCTAACATTTTTGGGCTCATGACTTTTAATAAAATGGTTTGGTTTAGAAATTTCAAGTTACTCAATTTTTGTTGACCTTGCTGAGAAGAGCTTTTAGGGGGATGGTTTGAGAGGGATGGGAAGGCCAGTCGAAGTATATTAAAGGCAGTGTTTAACAATCAATATTAAAATATTTGTGAAGTATAAATCGAGCTACTACTGACTTCAGGTACTGCTGCTGTCTGGCTGAGTCAGAGCGGTGGGGGGAAAGGGAGTGGAGAAACAATTGTGAAGTAGCAGATTGGGGAAATGCATTGGAGCATATCCAGGGAGGGACATGAGATGACCAGGGTATTTGGGAAGAATATGAAGAGTGGACATGGAGAGAGACATAAATAGAAAGATGCAAGTCTCTTTGCCAGCTGGCTGAAAGGGTATTCAGAGGACCTTGAGAGCTTGGAGAATGAGAAATATTAAATAGTGTTCGTGTAGAGGTTATATACCTACCCAAGATAGAAGGTGTATAAGTGCACACTCAGGAAATGGGGACCAGAAGATGGAAGATGATGGAAGTGAGGGGGTGAAGGGAAACAATGTAACTAGGGCCCTACCAAATTCATGGTCTATTATGGCCAATTTCACAGCCATATAATTTGAAAATAGATAAATTTCATGTTTTCAGCTGTTCAAACCTGAAATTTCATGGTCTTATAATCATAGTATCCCAACCCAAAAGGAGATTGGGAGGTGGGTCCCAAACCTGTTGTAAGAAGATCACGGGATAGCCGTTTCTCTGCTGCTTTTACTGCTAGACTCTGAGGGCAGAAACAGCAAAGATTCCTGCAACCACAGGTGGTTCCAGGAAGTAGTGTCTTGTCTTATCTGTAATATTGGGAGAAACCAGGCTAAGAGCTCCTTGTTTTTACTCCTAACTAGAGATATATAATCCTGATTAATCAGTTAATTGGTCAAACATTAGGTTAATCTAATGTTTAACTCATTAACAGACTAAGCAGGATCCCAGCACTAGTCCAAGGCTGGGGGCTGCTGGCAACAGGCTCCTAGCTCCCCAACCCCACCCCCACCAACCAGCACTGGGCCTGGGGCTGCTGCTGGCAAGTTCACCGTTTTCCCACCCCAATCTGGGGCTGGAGGCTGCTGCCAGCAGATTGCCAGCTCCCTTCCTTCCCCATCTCCGGTACTAGGGTAGGGGCTGCCCACAGGCTTCTGGATCTCTTTCTCCCCCTCCAATCCGCTCCCCGATCCTTTCCCTGGGGTTGGAGTTGGAGGCGGTCGCTAGTAAGTTTCTGGCTCCCGCCACCACTGGCGCTTGGGTTGAGGGCTGCCACTGGCAGGCTCCCAGTTCTCTCCTCCCCTTCCTGGGGCAGGAAGTGCCACCGGTAGGCTCACAGCTCCTCTGGTGCTGGGGCAGCCCCTCTACCTGTGGCAGGCAGCGCAGGTATGGAGCTGCTCCCGGCCACCAAGCTAACTGGTAAGCCTCACCCAATAAGGTTACCAATTAACCAGTTACTTGTTCACATCCCAACTGGCTTGGGAGGGAAAATACTTGCTCTCTTTCTGCACAGCTGCAAGTACTGCACCCCTTTTTCACACTCAGTTGCAGAAAACTTCAGGCTGATATTCAGTCCCTGACTGTCCTGCAGCCTGGGGAGTCACTCAGGGGGTTCTGTCTAGTCTCTCCTTACCCCAAGTAGTTATGCAAGAGATGGACAAGTTCTGTCCCTCCATTACCCAGTTGGATCTAGGAAGACCCCTTTGATGGGGCGCTCACAGCAGCACAGGGGAAATGCCTTCTGAAAAGTCTCTTCCAGCTTCAGAAACCTCAGGCTCTTTCCCAGTCCCAGACAGCATCCCAAAGCAGTGGGAAGCAAGCATCCAGGGTAAGTCTGGTTTGGTCACCTCCCACTCCCACAGCATTTTGCAGGGAAGAGACATCCTGTCTTGCTCCTAGGAACAAGGAAACATCAGATGACATGGGGAAGGGCTTATTTCACACTCCATGATGCATTTTCATGGGTGTGAAATTGATAGGGCTGTAAACATAACTGCCTGCTTTCAGCTGGGATGCACAGAAGTATGCCAGCGACAGATATATATATATAGGGTTTGAGAGATCCGTGGGGGAACAGTGCAGGGTACCCAGATAAGTTTACACTTACATGTAGTCTCCTCATTGATAATGTACCTTTTCCAATGTAAGTTGTGCTAAAGTCTTAAATTATACAAAAAAGCACTTCTCAGGTACATTTTGTGCAAATGTTAAATCAGGACACTCTTTTGTCCCAACAGGTTCAGATAATGCTCATTATCCACATTTTCACATGCTTCAATCTGTTTTATTAATATTTATTTACATATAAAATTATAAATATAAATTTATTTATATTAATTTATAAGATTGCTGACCTCGGTAGAAATAGATTTTTGTTAATAATTTTGTTGAGCCCATATGGTTATAGAATGTCATGTTGCAGAATTGGGTGGCTGAATTGCCTTTCCTCTTCAGCCGAGCAATTAGAATGTACATGGAGCTCTCAAAGCAGTCTATTATATTGTTTGTGCTGAAGCCTAGCTTGTTTTTGGTAATGTATACAATAGCCAACAAACTAAGTCTCTAAATAGCTTTTGAAGATCTAAAATTACAAAACTGCATTATTATAAAGATAGCAGGATGTCTTAATGTCATAAAATATGTGCAACTTAAGTGAATGCTTTCTCTCTTTTTTCAGTTTCTAATCGGAAGACTGTGTTAAATAAAACTTTTCGTGATGAGCCACTAATTATGGAGTAAGTATTTATGGTATTTTATCTTGAACAAAATTTACAGAAGTAAATTGAAACATAAACATTAAACACTTTACAAGTTAAATATTAAAAATATTTTTTGTGTAACAACGTCCAATTGAAACACCAAATATCTTAAGTCTAAAATGTATTAAAAACACACATGAAATCACCCAGGCTGCAGATTGTTACCTTTCCTGAAGCCAGATTATCATGTCTCTCTGCCTCTGTATATTTTTTTGGTTAGTCTATAAAATGCTAGAAGACTATTCATTGTTTAAGTTTTTTGTGCCTCTAACCGAGGTAATTTATTGTGATCACCTTAGTAAATGTATTTCAAAGGCTACGTCTAGACTGCAAGCCTCTTTCAAAAGAGGCTTTTTCAAAAGGTACTTTTGAAAAAGCCTCTTTTGAAAAAGAGCATTTAGACTGCAAGCAGTACTTTCAAAAAAGCAAGCTGCTTTTTCGAAAGAGAGCACCCAGGAAGTCTGGATGCTCTCTTTCGAATTAGAACTGTATGCAGCTTCCTCTTACTCAATTAGATAGTGATAGAAATGTAGCCGTGTTAGTCTGGTGTAGTTGAAACAAAATACAGGACTATGTAGCACTTTAAAGACTAACAAGATGGTTTATTAGATGATGAGCTTTCCTGGGCCAGACCCACTTCCTCAGATCAGTGGGTCTGGCCCACAAAAGCTCATCACCTAATAAACCATCTTGTTAGTCTTTAAAGTGCTACATAGTCCTGGTTTTTTTTTTTTTTCAAAAGAGCACTTTCGAAAAAAGGCATTCTTCCTCGTGAAATGAGGAGTACCGCCGTCGAAAGAAAAGCCGCGTTCTTTCGATTTAATTTCGAAAGAACGTGGCTGTAGTCTAGACACAAGTGAAGTTTTTTCGACAAAAGGCTACTTTTTTTGAAAAATCCCTGCAGTCTAGACACAGCCTAATTCTCCAGCTTCACTTCTGGTCTCTTGGGGATTAACAAATTGGCCATCAGTATTCAAAAAACCAAGTATTTATTCAAAACAAAAGCATTACAGAGAAAATAACAAACAGCTTACAAGAATGCTTACTAGTTAATGCTTGTCTACTATATAGGACACTGATAGCTTTAGTACTACTCAAGGTCATCTCTTGAGGTCTGTATCTCTTGTCATAGTCTCGTGTCAGTTCTTGGATGCAGTGACAGTGAACTCTTCATGTTGTCACTTAAATACAGTTCTCTGTTTGCCCAGGTGCCTTCGCCCATGTCAGAACAGTTTATACCTTTTCCTCAGGGTGGAGACCTCTCTAGACTTGGTAGAAGGCTACTGATTCACATTAATTATCCTCGTCTCCATCAAATAATTTGAGTTCCTGCAGGAAATTCCTGTACTATCTCCAGTGGAGCTAGAATATAACCTGTAGACGAAACATATAATATTTATAAAGTAGATATATAATCACATTCCATGTGTTTCTCATACTGCTTATGTCATCTTTGTAACCTCAAATAAGCAACCCTTCTGCACAGGCCTACTGTTTGGTAAATTAAAATCTCATGTTTGCTGAGGCTGTTTATTTCAGACCATGTTATAGGTAAGGTTAAAAGTCAGCATTGACCTAGGAGATGCAAGGAGGCTACCACAAGTGATGGGACTTGTGAGGAGATTGTCAAAGTAGCAGGTTTAAGGGGGTTGGTGGAGAGATCTGCTAGAAGAATAGTGACTGGGAAATAGTTAATAAATAATAGTAATAGATCTACTTAGTGGAGCAATTGTGGCCATGTTGAACAATCAGATGGAATCATAGAAGGGGACTTAGCCTTGAATCAATTTTTTTCCAAGCTTGAATAACTTGTTTTACACTCAAATCACTTTGTGCTGTCTCAGATTTGAAATGAAGAAACTTAAAGGTTAATAGCTACATATGTTTCTTGTTAAATAGTTGGAAGAGCTCTGTCTTGACACTTGACACAATTTAAGAAATGAGATCTGTTTCTGAGAAACCTGCATCCGGCTACAGTAGAATTTGAGTTGTGAATATGTTGGGCGTGATGGAGGTTGTTCATAACTTTATAATGTTCATAACTCTGAACAGAACATTATGGGTTACTCATTCAAAAGTTTACAACTGAGCATTGACTTTATTCCACTTGACACTTCAAAAGCAGCATTTTTCTTTTGCATAGTAACGTTTTTTTAATTTAAATTAAGCAAGCAGAAAAACATTTTCTTAGATTCAGACCTTTATTTTAACTTTCCCTTTGTTTCTTTTAGTAATTCATGTTAACACAGTACTACACTGTATTTGCTTTTTTCTCTCTGCTGTTACCAAATTGCATAATTGCAGATTCAGTTGAGGTGTGTGATTGACTGGTAAGTTTGTAACTTTGATGTAAATATCTGAGTTTCTACTGTAGTCCTGACTAGAACTGAATCTTCAGAGGAGACAGCACAGAATAAAGTTATTCAGTTCCTAAGGAGTCCCAAATAGAAAGGGATGATTTATAATAAACTTCAATGAAGGATAAGCTGACATAGCTTGTTTTTATGTTTTCAGCTTCAATGGTGATTTAATTCCTGATGTTTTTGGTGTCACAAATGAGTCAGATGGGCCCCAGATATTAATAGGCAGGTAAGTTCAAATACTTATTTATTAGCACACACCATAGATGTTTATATAAGTTGGCACACCTAATTCTGTTGTCTGTGTTCATGAAATCTCCATGTTGAGGGGGTGGTATACAGACATGGAGCTTTTGTTTTGACCCTCTCCTTTTGATATCTTTAGGGGCAATGTTTTGTTTACACTATGACACACTATTTTTTGTGTATTTTTCTGTAATAAACTAGAAATTCTATGGTGCTTTCAATAATCTAAAGCTTCAATAAGTATTGACTGATATGAGAAACTACATGGTGGTTTCTTGCAACTATTATGTGTACAATAGAAGTAAATTCAGTTTCATTTATTTTTATTACAATAGAACATAGATGCCAGAGTCCCTTTTTGATTCTTGTATGTTTGTATAACTCCAAATAGACTGTAGTATTTTACATGTGTTCAGGTTGAGGCCAAAAGTGTGAGAGGTGTGTGTGTGTGTGTGTGTGTGTGTGGCAGGGAGCAGCAAATGGACGACGGCACACGGCAGGCATCAGCTTTAGAAAAATTATTTGCCTTTAATGAAAACCCTCTTAGGAAGCGATTCTCTGGCAGCCAATGTAAATACTAGATTATCCTGCAAAGGTGAAATTAGTTCCAGGTATAGTATTGCCTGAATCTTTTGGAACAACTTTTAACTGAGTGAATGCTGTTGGTCTTTGTTCACAGCAATTACTGTTGGAGTGTATATATTTTAGAGTACGTCTGTTTAGCTGTACATTTGTTTTTCTGTTTGTTCAATAACTCCTTTGACCCGTAAGAGCTAGGACCACCAAATTTGGTATGCAGCTTCCTCTTACTCAACTTAAACAATGGTCAGGGGTTGGTTGTGCCTGGAACATGGGAAGTTGTGGGAATGAGACTGTTTTTGATAACATGAAAAGGGAGGGGGCAGATAGTGGAGCAATGCAAAAGGGAAGGGCACAGAGGAGAGGGACACAATACTGAAAGTGGCCACTAGGAACAGCTGCAGCACAAAGAGTGGCCAGCAAGACTGGGGCTCCACCATTTTGCCTGCCTCCAGATGAGGTAAAGAGCCCTCCTGCTCCAAACATGGAGCCTGCAGGACATGTGGAGGGGGGACCCGCTGGAGGAGTTCATAGCCCCCAGAGCCTGCCTCTCCCCAGACAGCCTGCAGACAGCTATCCGCCATCCCACACAGCCTGTAGACCACAGTAGGCAGTTGATGACAGGAGGGCAGCCCCTTCCGTCCGCAGCCTGGCCCCCCCAGACAGCCTATAGGCTGACTTGTTTATTTGACTTGTTTTATATACTGTTATGAGGTTGTGCTGAGATGAAGAGAATGTAAGTGTTGAAGTTAAGTTACCATTTCCATATTTATTCAGTTATGGTGTATATCATGTCAAACCAATCTGATAGCTTTCTTTGATAGGATAACGAATCTTGTAGATAAGGGAGAAGCGGTGGATCTGGCATTTGATATGGTCTTGCATTATATTCTTATGAATAAACTAGGCAAATACAACTTAGATGGGGCTACTATAAGGTGGGTGCATAACTGGCTGGATAACCGTAATCAGAGAGTAGTTATTAACGGTTCACAATCCTGCTGGAAAGGTATAACAAGTGGGGTTCTGCATGGGTCTGTTTTGGGACCGTCTCTGTTGAATATCTTCATCAACAATTTAGATATTGGCATAGAAAGTACGCTTATTAAGTTTGCAGATGATACCAAGCTGGGAGGGATTGCGACTGCTCTGGAGGATAGGGTCATAATTCAAAATGATCTGGACAAATTGGAGAAATGGTCTGAGGTAAACAGGATGAAGTTTAATAAAGACAAATGCAAAGTGCTCCACTTAGGAAGGAACAATCAGTATGGTCTGAGGTAAACAGGATGAAGTTTAATAAAGACAAATGCAAAATGCTCCACTTACGGAGGAACAATCAGTTTCACACATACAGAATGGGAAGCGACTATTTAGGAAGAAGTACAGAAGAAAGGGATCTAGGGATTATAGTGGACCACAAGCTGAATGAGTCAGAAGCGTCATGCTGTTGCAAAAAAAGCAAACGTGATTCTGGGATGCATTAACACGTGTATTGTGAGCAAGGCATGAGAAGTCATTCTTCCACTCTACTCTGCGCTGGTTAGGCCTCAGTTGGAGTATTGTGTCCAGTTCTGGGCACGGCATTTAAAAGAAGGATGTGGAGAAATTGGAGAGGGTCCAGAAAAGAGCAACAAGAATGATTAAAGGTCTAGAGAACATGATCTATGAAGGAAGACTGAAAGAATTGGGCTTGTTTAGTTTGGAAAAGATAAGATTGAGAGGGGACATGATAGCTGTTTTCAGGTATCTAAAAGGGTGTCACAAGGAGGAGGGACAGAACTTGTTCATCTTAGCCTCTGAGGATAGAACAAGAAGCAATGGGCTTAAACTGCAGCAAAGGAGGTTTAGGTTGGACATTAGGCAAAAGTTCCTAACTATCAGGGTAGTCAAACACTGGAATAAATTGCCCAGGGAGGTTGTGGAATCTCCATCTCTGGAGATATTTAAGAGTAAGTTAGATAAATGTCTATCAGGGATGGTCTAGACAGTATTTGGTTCTATCATAAAGGCAGGGGACTGGATTAGATGACCTCTCAAGGTCCCTTCCAGTCCTAGTATTCTATGATTCTATTATCTCTTTGCTAATCTTATGTTTGCTGCAAAGAAAACTTGCTTTAGTTCCCCAAAGACTGTTCACTAAGCTTTTTTTTAAGGGTTTTCTATAGCACCTGTTGTTATAGTATAGTTGATGTAGTAAAATGTAGCTGCTTGGAGCAACTATTAGGTCTAGGGCTATGACTACACTACAAGATTATTTTGAAATAAGTTATTTTGAAATAGGGCTTGACAAATAATACAATCTACTCGCTCATGGCGAGTAGATTGCAATCCGGAAGAGCTGGGTTCGGGCACAGATCGCCGGACAGCGCAGCTGGCGAGCAGGGCTCGCCACGTTTCGGCAAGCCCTGGAAATAGTAACTCCCAAAACAACTATTTCAAAATAGAATGTCGACACTGCAGGGAAGCCTCATAATTAATCCAAGGCGGGCTTCCTTAATGTGGACACGCTAACTCGACTTAGAGTTCCAGAAAGCACTGGAGAGTTATTACTTCGAATGGCTCTGGGGCATAGTTACAGTAAACTTACGATAATCCGGCACCTTTAGGACCCAGGGGGTGCCGGATTATCAGATATGCCGGACTATCACAAGGGGGGGCTATGAGGGGTCTGGAGTAGGGTGGGAGGGGATGCCACCCCAGACTCCTCATAGCCCCCCCCTTACGATAGTCCGGCTCTGCCCCAGGCATCCCTGATTCAGCTGCTGCTGGTCAATTTCAGCAGCAGCTGAATCGGGGATGCCTGCAATAAAGCAGCTGGAGCTGTCGGGTTGGTCCCGCAGCGCCGAGGGGCGGCACTACGGCACCAACCCAGCAGCACGCCACCTGCTCTTGGGGACGCCTTGGACAGAGCAGCTGGGGTACTGCCCGGTTGGTCCCGTAGCGCTACCCCTCGGGGCTGCGGGACCAACCCGGCAGCACCCCAGCTGCTCTTGGGGATGCCTGGGGCAGAGCAGCCGGAGGGGTGGCCGGCGGGGGCGCCCGCC